TGGATCATGACAAGCTATGTATGGACAACAATGTGGAGATTGAATAATTCAGAATATGTAATTGAGCTCATCAGGAACTTGTACATATACCAAGAGGTAGTCATTCAAACAGCAAAAGGGGACACTGGACACTGAATGGTTTAAAATCAGAAAAGGTGTGTGCCTGTGTTGTATTCTTTCATCATACTTACTCATTCTGTATGCTGAGCAAAATTTGAGAAACTGGGTTATATGAAGAAGAACGTGGCATCAGGATTGGAGGAAGACGCAGTAACAGCCTGTGATGTGCAGATGATACAACCTTGCTTGCTGAACATGAACAGGACTTAAAATATTTACTGATGATAATCAAAGACCACAACCTTCGGTGTGGGTAGCACATCAGTGTCAAGAAAACAAAAATCCTCACCACGGCACCAATAAATAACATCATGGTGAATGGTGACAAGATCGAAGCTGTCAAGGACTTCATTTTGCTTGGATCCACTATCAACACTCATAGAAGTAGAGTAAAAAAATCAAATGACGTATTGCATTAGGCAAATCTGCTGCGTAAGACCCTTTTAAGAGTTCAAGAACAAAGATGTCAGTTTGAAGACTACCATGTGCCTTACCTAAGCCATGGTAGTTTCAATAACGTCTTATGCATGTGAAGGTTGGACAGTGAATAAGAAAGGATTTAGAAGAATTGTTGCATTTAAGTTACCGTATTGAAGAAGACTATTAAAAGTACCATGGGCTGCCACAAGAGGTTTGTTGTTAAGTTCCGTAGAGTCGGTTCTAACCCATAGCGACTCTGTATAGGGTTTCCGAGGAGCAGCTGGTGAGCTTGAACTTCCGACCTTGCCATTTAAATGGCTTTGCAGTCTAGCACATTAACCCACAGCGTCACACCAGGACTCCCACCACAAAAGTGCTTGGAAGCCAGTATGGTGAGACTTTGTCTCTCATACTTCGGACATGTTATCAGGAGGTACCAGTCCCTGGAGGCTGTCATGCTAAGTAAAGTGGAAGGTCAGTGAAAAAGAGGAAGACCCCAAAGAGATATTTTGATATAGTGGTAGCAGCAACGGGCTCAAGCTTACCCAGAATTGTGAGGATGGCCCAGGACTGAGTGGTGGGTGTTTCCTTCTGTTGGAATCGACTCGACTGCAACTAATACTACCAACAAAGGGTTTCTGGGACTAGGCTGGTGGGTTCAAGTAGCTGACCTTGCACTTTAAATTGACCTTGTGGGCCAGTGCTTAGCCTACAGCACCACACCAGGACTCCTTGATGGCAAGGCCCATAAAAAGGTTATTTTAATGGGTGGTTTTTCTTCATGGCATGTCCTGAGATATGGCTACACAACTGTATACCCTGAGCCTGTTGGGTGCATCTCCCCAATTGCTCGAGCAAGAAAAATAGGGTTCACCAGTCCTCAGGATTTCTGTCACTAAGTGACCCATGTTAACCCAGAGTTCTGGACCCTCTTTTTGCCCTCAGATCCCAGGAAAATGAAGTCTTTGACAGCTTTCATCTTTTGTCCATTTATCATAATGTTAGTTCTTGGTCGAGTTGTCTCTGTTTTCTTTACATTGAGGAACAATCCATTATTGAGTCGGGCTGCTAATCTTAGGGTCCTCAGTTCGAAACTACCAGCTGTTCCACGGGAGAAAGATGAGGCTTTCTGCTCCCATAAAGATTTACAGCCTCGGAAACCCTGGACAGGGTCACTATGGGTCAGAACCGACTCCACGGCACTTATCAACAACAACAACATAGTCTTCATCAGTAAATTGACTCAGCATACAGATTAAATTAATATGGTGAAAGGATCCAACACTAAATGCATACCTTTCCTGATTTTATAGCGTAGTGGTTACGAATCCGGCTGTGAACCTTAAGGTCAGCGGTTCGAAACTACCAGCTGCACCGCGGGAGAAAGATGAGACTTTCTACTCCCGTAAAGATTTACACCCTCGGAAACCCTATACAGGGCCGCTATGGGTCGGAACCGACTCGATGGCACATAACAACAACAACAAGTAGCCCCTTGGAGTTCCTGGTGTGGCGCTGTAGGATAAGCACTCAAATGCTAACAACAAGGTTGGTGGTTCAAATTCACCACCCACTCCTCAGAAACACTATACAGACTCCCTACGATGAGGAAATCCTGTACAGGGTCGCTATGGGTCAGAACCGACTCCATGGCACTTAACAACAACAACAGCGATAAGGAACCTACTCTCTGGCTCTTAACAAGTATTCCCCTTTTCTGTTCTAACAACTGCCTCTTGGTCTACGTACAGGTTTCTCATGAGCACAATGAAGTGTTCTGGAATATCCATCCTTCACAATGTTATTCATAGTTTATTATGATCTACACAGTTGAAAGCCTTTGCATAGTCAATAGCCCACAAGTAAACATCTTTCTGGTTTGCCCTGCTTGCAGCTAAGATCCGTTTGATGTCAGTTATGATATCTCCAGTTCCATGAATCCAGTTGGATATTCTGATAGTTCTCTGTCAATGTAGGGTTGCAATTGTTTTTAAATTATCATCAGCAAATTATCTCTAGTGGGGACTGTAGGAACCAGTATTTTTTTACCGCCATGTCTGTTACTAACAAAGGACCTGGTACAAAGTAGGTGCTCAACAGATGTTTGTTAAAAGGACCCACAGGAGGAAGCACTTAAGTAAGTGTATTTAATCACCATGACAACCCACTAATGGGCATGTTTATCATATCTGATGACAAAACAGGAAACCAGGCGTCTAAGGTGCAGACTGTCCAGGTTACCCATAGAGGAAGGCTCCCTGCTTCATTTCCGTCCTGTGGCCCACCTTCCTCCACTCAGGTCCACAGCAAGTTTCACCATCCGAGCGCTCTTGTTTCCGCTCGTGCAGTTCCTTTTGCCTGAAACGACCTCTCTTGCATCTTGCCCGGGCCCCTCTTGTTGTCATCCTCAGAGCCACCTGTAGCCCACCGGACACTCGGTATCACAGCATCTATAGCTGTTCAAAATATCATGGCACGTGTGACCACTCAAGATTGTCCGTCTGTCTTCCTCTCAAACACGAGCCTCAAGAAGGCAGGGAGAGACGCCAGCGCCTCCTGTCTAACAAAGCAAGTGGTCCCAGGCTTTTCATCTCCCTTTCCCTTCCACCCCACTTACTCCGTTGTGGATGGAGGAGAAGGACGTTAGTATGCGTGCGGGGGTGCACGGAGCGAGGTCCACTCCCGTAGGAAAGTCCGACCCAAGACGCGGTCAGGTGACGGGGTCACAGTTCGACCCGGAGCCCCGCCTTCTGCGCCCCACAAGCCCACCCAGCGCGCACTTCCGGTCCCGGCCTCCCCCGCGCGCAGGACGCAGGGCTCGGAGCCTGGGCGGGGCCGGCACCGCGGAACACGGACTTCCGGCTTCGGAGCGGAGCCTATCTGCGCCGGTCCCCGGGACGCCATGGAGCCCCGGGCGGTTGCAAATGCAGTGGAGACGGGGGAAGAGAACGCGATGATGGAGGCCCTGCGGAAGTACAACCGGGAGGTGAGCGTCAGCCGGTGCGGGCCCAGCTCGGGGGTGGGCGAGCGGTGCGCGGGGGACCGAGCCTGCGGAACCGGCTGGAGGATGCGTCGGCGGGCGTGTGGGTGCGGTCCCGCCCCCACGGGGATCTGCCCGCCGGCAACCTCCGGTCTCTTTGCAGAATTCGCAGAGCTTCACGTTTGAGGATGCTCAACGGGAGGACCGAAAGGTGGGTGCTGGCTGTCCGCCCGGGGCGAGGTGGGGCGGAGCAGGCCGGCTGACGGCCCGGATTCAACCGCTGCTCTGTCCACAGAGACTGGCCGGGCTGCTGGCGTCCGCCCTGGAGCAGGGCCTGCCGCCGGCCCGCCGCGCCACCTGGCTACAGAGTCTCCGCATCCTGTCCCGGGATCGCAGCTGCCTGGATCGGTTCACCAGCCGCCCGAGCCTGCAGGCCCTAGCCTGCTATGCGGACATCGCCGCCTCCGAGGCGCCCGACCCCGAGCCCCCAGATATGGACATTGTTCTCGAGTCCCTCAAGTGTCTGTGCAACCTCGTGCTCAGCAGCCCCGCTGCGCAGGTGCTGGCTGCCGACGCCCGCCTGGTAGTGAGGCTGGCAGAGCGCGTGGGTCACTCTGGCCAGCGGAGCGTCCCGCACGAAGTCCAGTTCTTTGACCTGCGACTCCTGTTCCTGCTGACTGCACTGCGCACCGACGTGCGCCATCAGCTGTTCGGCGAGCTGCAGGGGGTGCGCTTGCTTACCCAAGCGCTGGAGCTGACGCTGGGGGTGGCCCTTGAGGAGGGTCCCCCGGCACTCCTTCCTGCCCAAGAGACAGAGCGAGCCATGGAGATCCTCAAAGTGCTCTTCAACATCACCTTTGACTCGGTCAAGAGGGAGGTGGATAAGGTGAAGGCCTTTGAGTTTCTGGGCATGGGATGTGGCGTGGACTGGAACTCAAGCCTGTTGGGGAGCCTTCCTTCAGAGAAGGGGCCTCCAGGAAGGCTGAGCTGGGGGCCGTGGTAGTAGGAGCTCCAGGTATGGGGCTGGGGGAGAGTGTATGTAGATTCTCATCCCAAGAGGGTCTGTTGATGACTCTAACTGAAGGAGTGCTCTTAGGAAAATAGCTCCAGCATGGCCAGGCCACAGGGGCCCAGGTGTGCAGCAGGAGGGAGGCTGGGAGAGCTTAGCAGATGGACGGCCACTGTTGACAGCAGCATGCTTTTCTCGGGGTAGGAAGATGCTGTCCTTTACCGGCACCTTGGCACCCTGCTGCGGCACTGTGTGACCATCTCAGCTGTGGGAGACAGAACCGAGGAGTTCCATGGGTGAGGGCGGGGCTTGAGGTGGGTAAAAGGGGCGTGGGGCATGGTGTACAGGTAGATGGGTAAGTAGGTGGTTCTGGCTATGGATCATAAGTGGGAGGGTAAGGGGAGCAGAATGATCTCACCTGTCCAGATGGGATGGGCATTGGTGTGATCGGCAAGTACCCAGCCGTTCCTAGCCCCATCAGCACCAGTTAGGAGCACTGCTACTTAGATTCGGGCAGCGTGTAGGGACTTGCAGGGAAATTGGCCTCATCAAGCCCCCTTCTGCCTGCAGCCACGCGGTGAACCTCCTGGGAAATTTGCCGCCCGAGTGTCTGGACGTCCTCACTCCAGAGCCACACACAGGCTCCCTAGAATTCATGGGAGCAAACATGGATGTGATCCGTGCTCTCCTTGGCTTCCTGGAGAGGCGTTTAGACCAGGTAGGAGGGCGGGCCTGCTGAATGGTGCGCTCTGGCCTGGTTTTTCCCCACTTCAGCATCAGCCCAGGTGATGGGGGGGTCTCTGGGTGACTCAGGCGTACCCTCCAGTGCTCTGAGAAACACACACGTGGAGCTCCTTTTGAAGATTTCATACCTGATCACTGCAGGAAGTGACCAGTGGACCCTGTGTGGGAACATGGCCTGGTTTACAAAGTCCAGTAGAATGCTTATCCTTGTGGTTTTTGAAATCTTTTTAGCTTCCTCTCAGGTGATCCTGGGGAAACCCCCCAGTCCATGTGTGTGATCCGCAGACTCTTGGTGTCCCTTTGCTGCCCCATGCTCCCTTGGCCTTCCGAAGGCCGAATCCACAGTGTGCAGTGTGTCCTGGTTACTGGAGGGGGACCCCAGGAACTCGCAGTCTTGTGCAGTGGGACAGGCTTGGGGGAGGGTGCTCAGGCACGATGCGATCCAGTCAGGTGACAGCAGCTAGTCCACAGACGCACCGGCTGAAGGAGAGCGTGGCCCCCGTGCTGAGCGTGCTGACTGAATGTGCCCGTGCACACCGCCCGGCCAGGAAGTTCCTGAAGGCCCAGGTACCATCTCCTGGGGCTGGGGTGGGCCTAGGCACAGACTAAGCCTGCTGCATCCAGCTGAGGGGAGGGCTGCTCCCCAGGTGCTGCCTCCACTGCGGGACGTGAGCAGCCGCCCCGAGGTAGGGGCACTGCTGCGTAACAGGCTGGTGCGCCTCATGACACACCTGGACACAGACGTGAAGCGCGTGGCCGCCGAGTTCCTATTTGTGCTGTGTGCCGAGAGTGGTGAGTAGAGCTGGGTGCCCTTCTCTCCCCTCCCCTACCCCCGGCTGGCTCTGACCTCCACCTGTCCTGTCCGCAGTGTCCCGGTTCGTTAAGTACACGGGCTACGGGAACGCCGCTGGCCTCCTGGCTGCTAGGGGACTCATGGCTGGGGGCCGAGCCTCAGGCCAGTACTCAGAGGACGAGGACACAGACACAGAGGAGTACAAGGAAGCGAAGGCCAGGTGTGTTGCTCTGCTCCAGGTTGGGATGGGAGGAAGCGGCCTCTGTCATGAGGTCTGTGTCGGGAAGGGGGTCTAGATGTGGGAACCCACCGTCCCAGTGGGCACTGACACCACGCCCCCTGGAAGCAGCATCAACCCTGTGACGGGACGAGTGGAAGAGAAGCCGCCCAACCCCATGGAGGGCATGACAGAGGAGCAGAAGGAACATGAGGCCATGAAGCTGGTGAACATGTTTGACCGGCTCTCCAGGTGTGTGGCGGGCAGCGGCAGGGAGCCCTTCCTACGGTGTCCTTGGGCAGGTCCAACTCAGCCTTGGAAACTTTCTCTGCAGGCACCGAGTCATCCAGCCCATGGGCCTGAGTCCTCGAGGTCACCTCACAGCCTTACAGGATGCCATGTACCAGACCATGGAGGGGCAGCTCTCCTCAGACTCGGACTCGGAGCCTGACTGAGGCTGCGACTCTCCTGTCCTCCAGAGCTTGTGCTGCCTGCAGTGTCTCGGTGCCGGCCCCAGCCCTGCCCACGTCCACTCTGGTCCAGCTTCTTGTCTCTGGCCTGGAAATTACACAGGCTGCACTAGCTACAGCCTCATGACAAGGTCTGTTCTGTGCTCGGCGCCAGGAGGAGCGTGAGACGATGCTGCTCTAGGGTGGGGCCTGGTGGGACACTTCACTGGGGAAGGAGCCTGCTGGAGCTGAACAAGCAGACCTCGTATCCCAGACACAACTGCTCACGTAGACAGCATGCCCAGGCCGCACGCTGGCTCCTCAGCGTGGCCGTTGAGTCGTGATTCTTCCTGCAAGCTGAAACTGAAAATGTTTACATGAAGGAGAACGCCCCTTCTCAGACCACAGAGGCATTGTTCTAGAATAAAGTCATCTTGGGCGAGAGCTTGTGCGTGGATGTGTCTGCAAACTGTCGAGCAAAAGTATGGTCAATAGGAAAGAAACTGGCTTCTCCCGGCCACCCTGGTATACAGTCATGGAACGAGATGTGCAGACTATGAGGATGGAGTCAGGAGGGGGGCCTTCGACAAGCCTGGGGGTGTGTGGACAGCTAGGCTGTCTGGAGTACAGGGTGATGGGGGCTCAGAAGCTCCTCAGGCAGGCAGGTTCTACAGGAACACCGGGTTTTAGTATCCATGACGGTATCCATGACAGCAGTCTGCTTTGGGAGTAGGTGACAGACAGGGAGATGCTGCTGGAAGGGTACAGAGCATGGTATCCTGGAGGAGAGGCTGGGTGGAGAGGGGGTTTTGGGGGAAGGCTCTCACCTGGACATACCAATCAATGGGTTGGCCTACAGGGACCTTTTTCCATTCTTGATGCCAACACTCAGTTCCTTTTAATGACGAAAATTGAGATGCCCCCAGTTTTTATACTAAAGTTTATTTTATGCCAGAGAAGGAGAGCAGATTTGTTTAATGAAAAGCAGCCACTGGAAGACTCCAAGTCTGTGACACACACTGCGACCCACCTAGGCAAAACCACAACACTGGATCTGCTCCACGGAGAGCGCCATCCGAAGACTGCTCTGTGCGTAGCCCGATGTGTGGCCATGCAGAGGAGCGAGGCCCCCAGTCATAGGGCCTGCACAGCCCAGGGGTTTCCGTGGTGATGGATGACACTGTCACGTCCACATGTCCTCCTCTGGCCCAGGGTCGTCCAGCACGAGGTCTCCTCAGATGGATGCTGCTCTCGTCACTGGCCCTCTTGGCTACCTGTCTCCTGTGTTGAGCTGGAACACAGGCATGGTGGACTCCGTTTTCCGTGAACATAACAGTTGGGCAATAACCCTCACTAGCCAGGGCTGCAAACAAGTATCATAAAGCTACAGCTTTTTAACACCTACAAACACTGTATCCAGGCGGCTTTAGATGATCTCCATAGGACTGGGGAGAAGCGGGTGACTGAAGGGTTAAATGCCCAGTGTGACATCTGCACACGCTGGTGCTCACTCAGAAAAGTCTCCCACGTTGTTATTGGCAACCTAGCCCTCACGTTCAGCAACCATTGATGGGAAAGCTTTAAATCCTAAGATATGGTGACCAGCCAGTATGCATGCATTGTATGAAATAAAGCAATAGGTCAAACCCTATGGCCCAGTCAGTAATGGCACTCCTAGGTATGCGGTACCCCAAGACCTGAAAGCAGAGACGCAGACAGAGACTTGGAACCAGTGGTCACTGCAGCACTCTCACAAGAGCCAAAAGGTGGAACCCACCTAAATGTCCATCCCCAGTGAACAGATAAACAAGATGTGGTGCGTACAAACAACGGGTACACTACTCAGGCAGCAGGAGGAATGCAGTCTGGATGCAGGCTACAGTGTGGATGGAGCTGAGGGAAGTCAGTCACAAAAGGACAAATACTGTACGACCTCATATGAAAAGGAAAATGTATAGTTTATTATTGGTTACTGGGGAAAGGGGACCAATGGTGACGGAAAAATCTGATTACGGGTAGACTTACACAGCCAATTGTTAGCATTGTCAGTAAGCTGTGCACCTGAAAAGTTGAACTGGCAGAAGGTGTGTGGCGGTTAAAGTTCCAACAGCACCCAAAAAAGGAGGAGCTGCTGAGGCTGCTTAGGGGATTTGGGTCCTTGGTTTGGAGGGTTAGAGTTTTATGAAGCATTCCAGTTAATTGTCTAATAACATGTTACTGTTCTACTTCATAGCTTGTGGCAGAATGTCTGGGACCATTTGAGCCACAATGATAGTTCTCTGTCTGCCTGGAGCACCAGGGGAAGGAGAACCAGACATAGAAGGCAATAGGACAAGTGGCTGACTGCCCCGTGAATGGCCTCCTTCCCTGAGACCAGAAGAACTAGATGGTGCCCTGCAACCATTACTGAACATTTGATAAAAGATTTTATAAAAATCCTGATCACAAGGCGGGAATTGCAGAAGAGAATTTCAAATTCTCTATAGAGCCATGGAGGCTAGATGAGCCCCTGAAACTTGCCTTGAGATCTTCTTTACGTTTTCACACCTGAAATACCCCCTGCACAGTAGTGTAGCTTCACTAGTGACCAAGGTCTGCCCATGCATTCTGCTCTTGAGAACAAGCTACATACGATCCAACTGACCACAGCAACTTGAAAGGTTCAAAAAGGGATGTAGGCTCCGAGAGTTGGTGGTGGTGAAGAACGACAGAATGGGGGTACAACTAGAAAATCAGGTCACTGAAATGAACGCATAGAAACAACTGGTGACCAGCCAGTTAGTGTGTGCTTTCCTAACAAAATTGACAAAAACTCCATAGGGTTGCCTGCGTTAGCCTGTTTTCATATGGGAACGGGATCCCCTGACTCACAGGTGAGATGCTCAGGGTCTACCTGCCCTCGCCTGGCAGAGTGAGCCTGCCATTGCCACTGTGGGGTCGGGAGCACTTGACTGGCCCTATTGTGTCCCCAGAATAAAAGACGTTGGTGGCAACTCGTCTCTACATGTGGCCATGAGGCCCTCTAAGTCTCCTTGAATGTACCTGTGTTCTCTCTCTCAGGCAGCTGAGGGGCCTTTCCTAGAGGAGGTGGACAGGACAAAGGCAGAAGGGGCTCCCTAATACCTGTGAGTTGGGGACTTCAGCACCCAAGCTCCTACCCCCAAGTCTCAGAGTCAAGTGTCAGACGGGAGAAGGCAGCTGGGTGCAGCTTTGTTCTGAACAAGAAGTCAGCAGTGCTCTGGTGTGGTGCTGTAGGGTAACCGCAGGACTGCAGGACTGGATGCAGCTACCGGGTTGGCAGTTCAAACTCACCAGGCGCTCTTTATAAACCCTGTTGGAACCGACTCAACGGCACTTAACCACAACCACCAGCAACTACAGCTCGTTAACGTCCATTTCTTCCTCTCAAAAATGGGCATGAGGAGGACAATGATGGCACCCAGGCCACACCCCACCCACCCGCGTCC